CTTCTGCCCTCCCCGGCGCAGGTCCCCACGGGTCGTGGCGGTGCTGACCAGGCTGTGGGAACCCGAGGCAGGGCAGCCTAACCCTTGTTCGCCCCCTTCCACGAAATGTCGAATTTCCTGCCAAAAAAAGAGCATTTGCGGGGAGTTTCAATTCATTACTTTATTTTGAAGAAAAGTGCTAGCGATGAACATTACTTTAAATAAAGCACTTTTGATGTTTTTCTTGAAATTACCGTGTTTTCTTTGATTACAAAATCTGCACTATTAACCGGTTAATGGTTGGTCCGGATTATTAACCGGTTAATGGTTAATCCGTATTATTAACCGGTTAATGGTTGATCCGCATTATTAACCGGTTAATAATACGATTAACTCTTAACCGGTTAATAATGCGGATTTTGTAATCAAAGAGCAAGGTAAGAGTTTTTAAGCAGTTGGCCCTGGGGACTCAGGCACCTCTTGTGGCCAACCAATAGTTTACATGTTCCAAGTTGAACTGCAAAAAGCGCTATTCTCTAGTATTTAGCAAATGGTTTGAATAAAAGTGCATAAATAATAAGCCGAAATAAATGGAGTCGGAGTTACAACAGACTGTCAAGAATAGGTGAGGAGGGGATGGCGTTTTCCAGGTAGACAATGGGTCATTCAGGCAGAAGCAACAGCAGACGCGAACAGCAGGTGTGACCGGAGAGAAATGGTAACTCAGCGGCCAGACCGCAGGGTTTCTGCTTGAGCATCGCCCGAGTAAGTCAGCGTCCGCCTCTCGCTGGGACTCCGCGCCCTTTCCGCCGCTCTGCTGGCCCCGCCCCTCGGGCGCACTGTGGCCCCGCCCCTGGGAAAAACTAGGGCGGGAGGCGCAGCCCAGTGCGGTCATCTCACGGCGCCTTCCTAAACGCGAGCGGGGGCAGACGGCGCCGTTTAATGACGTCACGATCATTGACAGCGTGAGGCGGCGGCGACTGCTGCCCGGGTGTTGAGCGGCCGGGTGAGGGTCTAAGTTTCTTTCCTGCAAGGCCAGGCCCCTTCAGAGGGCGCGGGGGCGGCCAGGCGTTTGCGGCCAGGGCGGCGGGTGTGGTCTCTGCGGGTCCTGAGGCTGGAGCGGAGGGTGTGGAAGCCCAGCAACCTGACTCGGGACCAGGGCTAGGGGGCGTGTTGGAGGGGAGGCTGCTTCCACGCAGGGTGAGAGGCGCGGCAGTCCGGCTCTGGGCTGGCGGAAGTCTTAGGGTCCAGGCGGGGTGAGGGTCATTGGGCGCTCAGGGTCTGGGCACGGAGCTATCTCCAGGGGTTCGGCGTGGGGTGGGTGGACCACGCTCACGAACCTCTCCCCCCGCCCGCCTGCTCGCGGCGGCTCCCGCGGGCTGCCCGGGCTGGGACTGCTGCTGGGCACCGCCGCGGGCCTCGGATTCCTGTACGCCCTGTACAGACAGCGGTGGAAACGGACCCAGCGCCATGGCCAGAACCAGCTCCTGCCCAACTCACTGGACGTCACGCAGACTTCAGAGCCCAGACGCCAGGGTAGGAGCCGGTCCTCTGAGGCCGCAGTCAGGGCTGGTGGATGGGCCTGGGGTGCAGCCTGTCCTAGCAGAGCCTATGGGACGGGACAGCGGGTGCGGGTGCCTGAGAGCTTCACCTTCTTGGAAAGCTTATTGAAAAGGAAAGCATTCTCCCTCTTCTGTACTCTTTC